TTCCAAACATTTTGTTACATTCGATCCGTATACTTCCGGTATTATAATCCGGCTTTAGGGCCCTTGGCGGAGCATGACCTCTCGCCACCGGCTTGCATTCTCCACGCAGTCACCCGCTCTGCATACGCCGAGCGAGGGGTGACGGGGGTGACGAGGTAGGGGGGGAGTGGCTGTGACGAATTAATATGCCCCTCAAAAAGTAAGCTTGCGCTTGTACACGCTTAATTTTCTCGCAACTGCTAAGTCTCGATTTCCTTTTAGTCTGATTTTTTTACGCTCGCGATAGCTCTCGACTTTCGACAGTCTTTAGGTGATGTGAAAGTTTTGCCGAACCTTATAATTCTATCAAATTGAAATGAAAAGCGAATGCATCCAAATGTGTTTACATATGGGTAGGGGCAGATGATAGATCGATACGCGGAAGTCATACCGTTATCGTACACACACACATTACGTTTCATTTTGTTTTTTTGCACTCTGCAGATGGCCATAGCCCCCCCCCACACACACACACACTCTACCCGCACTAAAACGCAATCGCGCGCTGCAGCAGAGTCGTACTGCATAACGGACGCCGCGCAATTTCTCATCTCGCTCGTTTTGGCGCGTTGCGCATTGCAAATACCAATATCCGCCCGACTGAAATGGACGCGTTTGTGCCGCCGGGGCGCGCGCAGACACACACACACACACACACACACACACACACACAGGCGCACACACACGCACAAAATCTCATTTCAACTGTCGCACCCATACCGCAGCTGCCGAGAGAAGCGGCGGACGAGACCACGGAAGGTGTCGGTGTCGCACACAAAACGCGCAAACGCGTTCTCATGAAGGATAGCGCGTGTGGGGTTGTAGGTACTTTTTCCACGTCACACACCTTTGAAACTAGAAAGTTCATAGTAAACGTGCCCCTCTGCGAGTGAGTGGGGTAACTTCATCATAGCAGTAAAAGTTTGCAGAGTACTAACAACCCTCAACCCCAACAGCGAGGGGGAGGGCAGAGCGTCGTATGGAAAAAGTACCTCGTTCCTTTTAACTGGACGGTCGTGATAAATGTACCCCATTCGTTAAACTGAACGATCGTGATAAAAGTACCCCAGCATGTCACGTCAAAATGGATTAAATCGTGTGTGCGCCCTTGATAAGAGAGACTCTGCGTTACGGGGGGATGAAATTAACCCATCCACAAGCAGATGGTGATCACAAGGCGGCGCGGCGAGTGAATCCGGCTGTGCGGCGCGGCGGGGGAGTGTGCGTGTCTCATGTTTCCAAAGTTTGTCGGACCGTGTGCGGGTGATGTGGCCCGGCTATAGGCCCGGCGCATAGGGCCCAGCTATAGGCCCGGCGCATAGGGCCCTCGGAGAGTCCCTTCCCTTCCGCCCGAGATAAGGGCAGCGCGGCCGAGCGGCCTGGCCACTTTGACTGCGCGCTCCTTTGAGGCAGTACGGCGGGGTGGGGCGGGGCGGGCCGAGTCCTCCGGGAGGACCCCGCGGCGCGGCGGCGGTGCGGAGCTGTGAGCAGCGCCCCAGGAGAGGAGGAAGAGACCAAACATCAAACGGAGCCAGTCCCGCAAATCCAGCGTCACTATATTACTCGCTCAGCTCACGGCTTATGGCTACTCCGGTTGAAAAGCGCACCCCTTTGCTTTTAATGGTGAATAATATGGAAAGTAAACCAGGGGGTACTTCTCTTACTATGAGTAAAAGCGTTACCAAATTTCCTGCTTTCCTTGATTTCTATTGATTTTTCAATATAATTTTTGAACTTTTTTCTAATTTTTTAAAAATTTATTTTTGATTTTCTTCTGATTTTTTTTTTTAAATTTTGACTGTCTTTTTTTTTTAATTTGTCTAGATTTGTTTTTATTCATTTTTTGGGGAAGTACCGCCTCCTCAGCTTCTGCCCGTCGTCATCGTCGTAGCGGCCGCGATGAGCGCCGAAGAAGACGACATCATCGGCTTGATGCTGCCGCTGCAGTCAGAGTCGTTCGTTACACTCGCGCAGTCGAGCGCGTGATTCCCCCTCACACACTGCCCCCCGCACGCGGTCAATGCGGTCAACGAGGCCGCAATGGGCCGGCGGCGAACGACGCGATGGACGCACAATGACCGACCGAGGCGACTCGGTATTATACACTGCCGAAAAAAAATACAAAAAAAAAAATACAAAAAAAAAATACAAAAAAAATACAAAAAAAAAACACGCAAGACGACCTGCGGCGGCACTCGCGCGGGTGTCGTGTTTGCAATTCGCGAAAAAAAAAAAAAATAATACCAGCAACAACCAAAGTGCTGACCTGACCCACCCGATGCCGGGGCGCCTCTTTATTTCAGCCGACGCGACGCTTTAGACGCGTTAACGTTGGACGAATCATCATCAACGGAATACAAAACAGCTGCGCGGCTCGGTTTCATTTTGCACACCGCGAAGAAACCTCTAGCTCGTAACGGTCGGTGGTAGTGTGGGGTGTTTTATAGAGACTTTTACACCTTATAGCAGAGCCTCACCTAAAAGCGTGCGTTTTTAACGCACCTATGCGCCAAAAATGCGGATAGATTCTAGCGGTGTGAGTGCGCGGCGGACCGGTGGATGCTGGGGCCGCAGGATTACATTCCCACGGACCAACGCGATCGCTCCAGATCCCGACTGGATCTGAATGACGAGAGAGAGAGGGGAGAGAGGGGAGAGAGGGGGTGACATGCAAATCGCTCTCTCATGACACATTCGCACACACGGCCAGGTGCGTGAGTGCGCGCGTACTCGAGGAAGGTAGTACACACCGGCGGCGGGCGCTCGGGGGGAGGTAGTTGCGCAGTTAACAACGTTGTGTGTGTGAGTCTGTGTGTGCGTGTGTGTGAACCCGCTCGACGTTCGACGTCGTACCCCCCCTCGAGTAGGTAAGGGTGATTTCCATCGCCCAGGGCGTATAACTAGGCACGCGGGATATACACACGTTTGGTCGCGCGCGCGGGATTCTTCTCATCCCATCTCTTTCCCTTTCTCCTGTCTAGAGCAGTCGTGATAACCCTTTTTGAAGTTATCCCATCTCTTTCCCTTTTTCCTGTCTAGAGCAGTCGTGATAACCCTTTTTGAAGTTGAAGAGCGCCCCGTCGTCGTCGTGGCACACGCAGGGCGCTGTGCGGCCGCCACCGGGAAGAAGGCTGCCGAGCGCGCCTATGGCATGCACGGCAGCAGCAGCAGCAGCAGCAACAACAGCAAAGAGGATTTTGTTTGTTTTAGATTCATTACAGGGAATATCGCCTATAGCAGCGCCCCCCACTATGGGGTTGGTATGGTGCATAATGGTGGGAGCCGTATGCGAAGACACGCACGCACGCACACACACACACACACACACACACGCACAGAAGCACATGCGCGTGCCGACACGCACGCTGTGCTTGCGCCCGCGTGCCGTTCACCGCTTCTTGTGGAGTCGCGCGCGGCGTGCTGGAAGGCGTCGGCGCGACGCGGAGCCCGCGCCAGTTAGTTCCACTTGACACGCCAAAAACTGTTATCGCCGCAAACGCAGTGCTCCCCAAGCGCGCGCGCACTCGCCCCGCCCCGGCCTGCTACCTTACTTTTTAACACTCTTGGTTACGACCCCAAACGGTCGTGACCCATCATGATAATGCCTCCCATAAAGGTCCCCGCCGGCCCTGCGAGCATCACCACCACCACCACCGCCACCATGCCGAGCAGAGCACAGCGGGTTCCTTTACACCTCATCCCTCACAAGCCCCACGTAATAACCACGGCGGCGAAGGGCGCGGCGCGGCGGGTCCTTCGGGTGTAGAGAGAGGGTTCCGGACCTCTTCCTTCTCCTCCTCCTCCTCCTGGACTTCCCCTCCATCCTCCTGGAGTTCCGCCTGGAGCAGAGTGCCCGCGCCTTCGCAAAAGACACACTGCGGTTTAGTAGTCCTCCAGCACGGCGGCGGCCGGCAGCTGCGAACTTTGTGGTGGTGGCGGTGGTTGTGGTTGGGCCGATCCCGTGACGCAGAGGGAGAAGAGGCTGAGGATAGCAGTGAGAGAGAGAGAAAGGAAAAGGGGAAATAGGGCGGAGGGAGACACGCGCGGGGACGAAGGGGAGCCTGCGAGGAGGAGAAGGAGGGCCTCGCGCTGGTCCCCACAGCCCCGCCCCGCCCGGCTCCGGCTCACGGACTGCTCGGGGGCCAATCTAGCTGAAATATCGCCCGGAGGAAAGCCGGAGGAGCCGAGCCTAGGGGGCGGGCGGGGAGTTTCTTTTTCTTCTCCTTTTCGGCGAGAATGCGCTGCTTGTCGTTGCTCGACAAGGAGCGAGCGCCATACGACCACCACCGCCCCTCTCCGCGACCCCGCGCGGGACGATGTATACCTCAGGGGAGGGTTGTCGCGCTGAGGCCTGCCCGCGGCGGCGGGGGTCCCAGTGAGAAATGCGGATATCAAATTGACATCAGAACGATATCGGACATCAGAAAAGTGTCGATTTCGGGCCCATTTTTGAATCAGTTCTGAGTCAGAAACTTGAAAACGATATCGTTCTGATATCGATTCGATATCGCTTAAAATTCATTTCGCACTGGGGTGCGCGCCATGGCACCACGACCCCTCAGGATCACGTCGTACTGCAGAGGACGGTCGCGGCCGCGTTGGCTCGACCCCCCCCTGCTGCCGTGCGTTCTGCGCCGTTTATTACGAAACACACCGGCCGTTATCTTTGCACTCTACTCTAGATAGGACGACCCCCC